GTAGGAGAAAAAAAAAAGAGTCCTTAAAAATTAAAGAAAATTAAAAACCAAAAAAACACTGGATGAGAAAAACAGTGCATGCAGGGGGTAATTTTATTTCTATGGTAACAAACTAGAATTGTGTGTAGAACAATTTAAAGCTTTAACTTGAAGAGCTTAAGGATGTATTAGATCACCACCATCTTCCTGGAAAAATTCATTTATAAGGATGTATTAGATCACCACCATCTTCCTGGAAAAATTCATTTATATTGTTTTAAATGTTTCAATGGGGGCACCTGGGTGGCTTAGATGGTTAAGCGTCTGCCTTTAGCTCAGGTCATGATCCCAGGGTCCTGGAATCAAGTCCTGAGTTGGGCTCCCTGCTCAGTGGGGAGTGTGCAACTCCCTCCCCTTTGTCCCTCCCCGCCCCTGCTGGTGCTCTTTCTCTGTCTCAAATAAATAAAATCTTAAAAAAGAATAAAAAAATAAAAAAATTAATGTTTCAATGTTTTAAACTATGCCACAATGAATTTATGTTTGTTTGGGGTTTTTTTTCCATTTAAGACAGGGAATACTTTATTCAGAGATTTTTTTTTAAATTTATTTATTTGACAGAGAGAGAGAGATAGCAAGCAAGCGAGAGACCGTAAGCAGGGGGAGAGGGAGAAGCAGGCTCCCCGCTGAGCAAGGAGCCTGATGCAGGACTCAATCCCAGGACCCTGGGATCATGACCTGAGCCAAAGGTAGACATTTAACCACCTGAGCCACCCAGGCATCCCTGGGAATACTTTATTCAAATCCATCAGAGAAAAGGACATCTTGAGTCTGTAACAAAGTGTTGTGTTTTAAAGCACAGGTCAGTAATTGTACATGAAGAGTATACACTGCTACATACAAATTAACTAATCAGAGCTCAACTTTTCAATGTTTAAAACAGAATAAGCTTCCCTGTAAAAGCAGCACCTCTGTGACATTTTTAATTTTAGTACTCCTCTCCTTCTTCAAGCTCTCCTTCAACTAAATCCACACCAACCTCCTCATAATCCTTCTGAAGGGTAGCCATGTCCTCACAGGCCTCAGAAAACTCTCCTTCCTCCATGCCCTTAGCCACATACCAGTGAACAAAGGCATGCTTGGCATACATCAGGTCAAACTTGTGGTCCAGGCAAACCCAAGCCTCAGAAATGTCTGTGATGTTGCTTACCATGCACACAGCTCGCTGTACTTTAGCCAGGTCTCCACCAGGTACCACGGTGGGAGGCTGGTAATTAACACCCACTCTGAAGCCAATGGGGCACCAGTCCATAAACTGGATGGTACGCTTGGTCTTGATGGTGGCAATGGCAGCACTGACAACTTTGGGAACTATGTCGCCACTGTACAACAGGTAGCAAGCCATGTATTTACCATGGCGAGGGTCACATTTCACCATGTGATTGGCTGATTCAAAGCATGCAGTGGTGATCTCCGCTACAGAAAGCTGTTCATGGTAGGCTTTCTCAGCAGAGATGACAGGAGCATATGTGGCCAGACAGAAGTAGATGCAGGGATAGGGCACCACATTGGTCTGGAATTCTGTCAGATCAACATTCAGGACTCCATCAAATCTGAGGGAAGCAGTAATGAAGGACACAATTTGACCTATCAACCTAATTAGGTTAGTGCAGGCTGGGCGTTCAATATTGAGGTTTCTATGACAGATGTCATAGATGGCTTCACTGTCTACCATGAAGGCGAATTTATGTTTATTGTCAACCTGTAACAGCCTTCGGAATAAATCTTCTAAATTCAAAGTAATCTCAAAGGTTAGTCTACAAACAAAAAAACAGGAAAAAGAATGAATCTACTCTGCGGGAATCTTTCTTCAGCTTATTTATATTAAGCTGAACCATGTAAAACTGACAATATTCTATCTTTTTTTTTTTTTTTTTTTTGGCAAGAGAGAGAATGAGAGAGAGCACGAGAGGGAGGAGGGTCAGAGGGAGAAGCAGACTCCCTGCCGAGCAGGGAGCCCGATGTGGGACTCGATCCAGGGACTCCAGGATCATGACCTGAGCCGAAGGCAGTCGCTCAACCAACTGAGCCACCCAGGCGCCCCTCTATCATTTTTTAATTATAAAAATAGCAACATAATATGGTTCAAGCTGATATACTTTAAACTGTTAAGAAAATCTGTGAGTTTATAACTGGAAAAAGAAGGTAAGTGGTGAAAAACAAGAGCAACTTTAAGATACTCAATTCTAGGCTCTCTAGTTAGAAAGAACAGTTTTTTTGTTTCACTCTGAAATACTGTCTAAATTTTGGTCAATTAAAGGCTCTTCTGGCCAACCAGTTTCCTCCTTTTTAAATGAAATTAATTCAGTGCAAAGGAATCATACATAGAACATGAATTACTAACAACATAAAATTTATCATTTTTGTGAAATAAAACTTCACTTAAACTAAGTTTGATATATACATTACATATGGCTCATATAAGCCCAAGAATAAATTTCTAGCAAGGAGACTAGTTCCTTAATTATTCATTTCAGAAGTCTTTCTGTTGTGTGTGTGGTGGGGTCGGAGTAGGGAATCTTCAAATGATTCATTGAAGAACTCTTCACCTGGAAACTAAGCTGGCAGCTAGCCACATAAAGGTCAATTCTTCATATTCAAAGATAATACTTAACATACTGTCAAGCTGATTTCCCTACATAAGGATGTAGGGTACTATATCATCTAAATTTTCTTGTTAGAGCTAAACTAAAAGAACATCTAGGACTGTATCTAATTGTTATAAAAACTTGTAACTCACACTGTTAATTAGCAAAACCTATTAATGCCAAAGTACAATGATACTTTAGCTTTATTTTTTTTTTAAGATTTTATTTATTTATTTGACAGCGAGCACAGGCAGTGGGGAGTGGCAGGCAGAAGGAGAGGGAGAAGCAGGCTCCCCACAGAGCAGGGGGAGCCCGACCACGGGACTCCATCCCAGGACTCTGGGATCATGACCTGAGCCAAAGGCAGTCGCTTAACCAACTAAGCCACCCAGGCGCCCGATACTTTAGCTTTATTAGCAACAACTTTCCCACAAACAATCACAATCTTTCCTTATCTGTCAAATTCTATCAATATCACTACCTTTATGTCAATCACTATCCTTATATATGTCTGACTGAACAGCAGCATGAAGAAACAGCAATGGCACTTTCAGGTATGCCTGAAAGATTTCCTTAATTTCACTGGGAACACGGGTATAACAAAATCCTTTAGAAACACCCAGAGAACTCTAAATAGGCTCCAGCTAATAAGTCATTTAGCCTAAGACTCTGACCTTAGTTCAGATTTTTAGCCTATGGTAATGGTTCTACTCCGAAAGATCTGAGCTTACACTTTTCAGGAATTTTCCACATGTGGCTCAATGACATCAATACTTTTGTTAGTCTCTGAAACTGGCATCTGTAGCTCTTCTGATGAGAAGAGACAGAGCATTGCTCAGAATCAAGACACCATCAAGACCTTCAAGAGAAGGTCCTCTAGGTGAAGCCTATAGGCCGTAGAGTTGCAGGGACCTAGAAACTTGGGGATATCTGACCTAAAGGAGTCCAGAAGAAAACTGAAGCACTCTTACTGACTGAGCTATTTCTCATTTCTAAATTTGCTCTTTTCATGTCTAATGAGGTGGCTAAACCATTTCTGAGATATGCAAAAGAATGATAATAAAATATATACAGTACATACTAATTAGCTTTTTAAGAAGTGACTTTCCTAAAATATCAGATTTATATATGTCAGTCATTTCTGTTCTATGATCGTTATGGTTTTTAATAAAAGGCTTAATTAAAACAAATTCCTTTTGGGATGAAAATGTTCCTAATCTTGATGGTGGTGGTAACTTCACAGGTGTACACATCTACTGAAATTTGTCAAAATGTAAAGAATTAGTAATTCTTTACTATGTGATTTAAGAGTCCTGTGTGTGTTGGATAAAAGTTCTTTGTCATGTGTCTTTTGTTTTTTTTTTTTAAGATTTTATTTATTTATTTGACAGAGAGAGAGACAGCGAGAGAGGGAACACAAGCAGGGGGAGTGGGAGAGGGAGAAGCAGGCTTCCCGCCGAGCAGGGAGCCCGATGCGGGGCTCAATCCCAGGACCTGGGATCATGACCTGAGCCGAAGGCAGATGCGTAACGACTGAGCCACCCAGGTGCCCCTGTCTTTTGCTTGTTTTAGGGTTAGTTTACTTTTCTGGTTTCTTAAGGTAGTAGGTTAAATTATTGATTTAGTATATTTCTTCTTTTCCTTATAGCACTGCTTTAGCTGTATCCTATAAATTTTGGTATGTTGTGGTTGTTGTTGTTTTTTTTCCATTTGTCTCAAAGTATTTCCTAAATTTCCTTTGTGAATTTTTTTCCTTGACTCATTGGTTATTTGGGAATGTGCTGTTTAATTTCCACATATCTGTGAAAATACCAAATCTCCTTCTGCTAATGATTTCTAATTACATCATTCATTTATTCTTGACTTGAAGTATAGATCAAAAGGTCACAGAATCCTAGGCTTGAGGGCACCTGGGTGGCTCGGTCATTAAGCGTCTGCCTTCAGCTCAGGTCATGGTCCCAGGGCCATGGGATCCAGCCCCGCATCGGGCTCCTTGCTCCGCAGGAAGCCTGCTTCTCCCTCTCCCACTCCCCCTGCTTGTGTTCTCTCTCTGTCAAATAAATAAATAAAATCTTTAAAAAAAAAAAAAAAAGAATCCTAGGCTTGAACCACATAAGAGAATATCTATAACCATTACTACTTCTATCCCAGATGTTAATTAGTCATAATCTTTCAATGGACTTTGGAAGAAGAGATAAAGAAATCAAGTGAAAAGATTGAGGACTATAAGCAAAATCAGTTATACTTTGTATTTATATAGCATTTTACAGATACAAAAAGTGCTTTTATGTAAATAAGTAGATTTTTGAAAAGACCTTAAATATTAATTCTAACATAAAACAGAGACAACGAGTTAAGTCAGCAAAAATAAAATACCTGATAGGTGTTGTCAAAACTGTCATACATGAATCTGGTGATCAAGGATGTCTTTCCAACTGAAATGAAAAGGAAAAAAGATTGACTCAGTTAAAACAATATACTGTGATTCTTCTACAGAGAACTGCAATTAAAGTCAATGGGAAATATCTGCAATGGTTCTACTAATAATAATTTAGAAACCTATAGACCCTAGTTTGTTGAAACACCTTTCTCTAATAACAGATAACTATCTCTCAAATTAAAAGCACAGGTAAATAAAGTTTTATTTAGTAAAGAGATGAGGAAAATGAAAAGATGGAGGAAAATAATAAATTATGTTGACATCTCTAATTCACAAAAGGCCAAGCAGATTATTACTTGGGCCCTAACAAAAAGAACTAGGATTAGACTTGAGAAGGAGCCTCTTTATATAGCAACGGTTGAACTATGAATTCATTAGTAAACAGTACATATAGTTTCCATTTTTTAAAAAAAATGCTCACCATCTTTTTCACATAAGAGTAAAATGCATACTGTATTTTACTGGTGGTACAGAAAATTACAGGAACAAAGTGAAAATTATGTATATCATACCACCCATATACAATTAATGTTCGTTTATGTTTTTCTGTAATATTTTTTTATATATAAAAACATGTACTTAAAGGTAAAATTCTAGAACCATTCATAGGAAAGTCAGGAAAAATATACATACTACTGTTTTCAACACTGATTGGACTCTGTAAAAAGTAAATGTAAAAATCTGAAGAGATAAAAGGCAATATGCATTTCACAGAGGGGGACATAGTGGTGGATAAAAGCAAGGAACTATATAAAATACATAACAAAGAAATATAAAATAGGGCGCCTGGGTGGCTCAGTTGGTTAAGCGACTGCCTTCGGCTCAGGTCATGATCCTGGAGTCCCAGGATCGAGTCCCACATCGGGCTCCCGGCTCAGCAGGGAGCCTGCTTCTCCCTCTGACCCTCCCGCCTCTCATGTGCTCTCTCTCTCTCTCTCAAATAAATAAAATCTTTAAGAAGAAAAAAAAAAAGAAATATAAAATAGCTTGTTAAAATAGTTTTTATTCAGAGGCGCCTGGGTGGCTCAGTCAGTTAAGCAGCTGCCTTCGGCTCAGGTCATGATCCCAGGGTCCTGGGATCGAGCCTCGCATTGGTCTCCCTGCTCAGCGGGGAGCCTGCTTCTCCTTCTCCCACTCCCCCTGCTTGTGTTCCCTCTCTCGCTGACTCTCTCTCTCTGTCAAATAAATAAACAAAAATATTTAAAATAAAATAAGTTTTTATTCAAAGGATTAAAAATTATTAAGCATTTTATTTTTAAAAGATTTTATTTTTAAGTAATCTCTACACCCAATGTGGGGCTTAAACTCACAACCCCAAGATCAAGAGTGAATGCTCTACTGACTGAGCCAGCCAGGTGCCCCTAAGTATTTTAAATACGATTCACTATGGAGTCCTAGTAAATATATTGCTCTGTTTACCTCAAACTTCCTGTAAAATGGTATGCAAACGTATAATGATTTGCTACATGTTGTTTTTCCTAAAAGATTATAAGTTCCAGGGGCACCTGGGTGGCCCAACTGGTTAGGTGTCCAACTCCTGGTTTCGATTCAGGTCATGACCTCAGGGTCCTGGGATCAAGCCCCGACTCAGGCTCCCTGCTCATCAGGAGCCTGCTTCTCCCTCTCCCTCTGCCCCTACCCCCACTCATGCTCGCTCTCTCTCTCAAATAAATAAATAAAAGTAAAAATTACAGTTTATAACATAGAGAATATAATATATGACAACTAAAACACAAAAGATGGGGAGATAGATGCAGTTATACTGTTGTAAGGTATCTATAGTTTATGTGAATAGTACAGTACAGTCTGTGAGAGGTTAACGATGCATATCATAAGCCCTGGCAAAACCACTAAAAATATATGCAAAAAGGAATGGCCAACAAGTCAACAGAGGAATCAAAATGGAACAGTAAAATAATAACAAAAATCAAAGGAGACAAACCCAATCCAGCCCTATCAATTTATAGAGTAAATGAAAAGTAGATTTAAAAACTCCAATTAAAAGACAAAGATTGTCAGAATGGATAAGAAAACACAAATACTTGCTTTCTGTAGAGACACACTTTAAATACAAAAATGGAGGCTCTAACTACTAGAATAAATGAGGCAGGAGAGAAATAGTGATATAGAAGACCAAATGATGGAAAATAAAGACGCTGAGAAAAAGATAACTACTGGATCACGAGGGCAGAATTCGAGAGATAAGTGATACCATAAGACAAAACAACATTAGAGTAATTGGGATCCCAGAAGAAAAAAGAGAGAGGGGGGCAGAAGGTATATTGGAGCAAATTATAGCAGAGAACTTCCCTGATTTGGGGAAGGAAACAGGCATCAAAATCCAGGAGGCACAGAGAACTCCTCTCAAAATCAATAAAAATAGGTCAACACCCCAACATCTAATAGTAAAACTTACGAGTCTCAGAGACAAAGAGAAAATCCTGAAAGCAGCTCGGGAGAAGAGATATGTAACCTACAATGGTAGAAACATTAGATTGGCAACAGACCTATCCACAGAGACCTGGCAGGCCAGAAAGGACTGGCATGATATATTCAGAGCACTAAATGAGAAAAATATGCAGCCAAGAATACTATATCCAGCTAGGCTGTCATTGAAAATTGAAGGAGAGATAAAAAGCTTCCAGGACAAACACAAAGTAAAGGAATTTGCAAACACGAAACCAACCCTACAAGAAATATTGAAAGGGGTCCTCTAAACAAAGAGAGAGCCTAAAAGCAACATAGACCAGAAAGGAACACAGACAATATACAGTAACAGTCACCCTACAGGCAATAAAATGGCACTAAATTAATATCTTCCAATAGTTACCCTGAATGTAAATGGGCTAAATGCCTGAATCAAAAGATACAGGCTATCAGACTGGATAAAAAAACAAGACCCATCGATATGCTGTCTGCAAGAGACTCATTTTAGACCCAAAGACACCCCCAGATTGAAAGTGAGGGGGTGGAAAACCATTTACCATGCTAATGGACACCAAAAGAAAGCTGGGGTGGCAATCCTTATATCAGACAAATTAGATTTTAAACCAAAGACTGTAATAAGAGATGAGGAAGGACGCTATATCCTACTTAAAGGGTCTATCCAACAAGAAGATCTAACAATTGTAAATATCTATGCCCCTAACATGGGAGCAGCCAATTATATAAGCCTAATAACAAAAGCAAAGAAACACATCGACCACAATACAATAATAGTGGGGGACTTTAACATCCCCCTCACTGAAATGGACAGATCATCTAAGCAAAAGATCAACAAGGAAATAAAGACTTTAAATGACAAACTGGACCAAATGGACTTCACAGATATATTCAGAACATTCCATCCCAAAGCAACAGAATACACACTCTTCTCTAGCACCAATGGAACATTCTCCAGAATAGATCACATCCTAGGTCACAAATCAGGTCTCAACCGGTACCAAAAGACTGGGATCATTCCCTGCATATTTTCAGACCACAATGCTTTGAAACTAGAACTCAATCACAAAAGGAAAGTCAGAAAGAACTCAAATACATGGAGGCTAAAGAGCATCCTACTGAAGAATGAATGGGTCAACCAAGAAATTAAAGAAGAATTTAAAAAATTCATGGAAACAAACGAAAATGAAAACACAACTATTCAAAATCTTTGGGATACAACAAAGGCAATCCTAAGAGGAAAGTATATAGCAATACAAGCCTTTTTCAAGAAACAAGAAAGGTCTCAAATATACAACCTAACCCTACACCTAAAGGAGCTGGAGAAAGAACAGCAAATAAAGCCTAAACCCAGCAGGAGAAGAGAAATAATAAAGACCAGAGCAAAAATCAATGAAGTAGAAACCAAAAGAACAGTAGAACAGATCAACAAAACTAGGAGCTGGGTCTTTGAAAGAATTAACAAGAATGATAAACCCCTGGCCAGACTTATCAAAAAGAAAAGAAATAAAATCATGACTGAAAGGAGAGATCACAACCAACACCAAAGAAATACAATTATAAGAACATATTATGAGCAACTATATGCCAGCAAATTAGATAATCTGGAAGAAATGGATGCATTCCTAGAGATGTATTAACTACCAAAAGTGAACCAGGAAGAAATAGAAAACTTGAACAGACCTATACCACTAAGGAAATTGAAGCAGTAATCAAAAATCTCCCAACAAACAAAAGCCCAGGGCCAGATGGCTTCCCAGGGGAATTCTACCAAACATTTAAAGAAGAATTAATACCTATTCTTCTGAAACTGTTCCAAAAAATAGAAATGGAAGGAAAACTTCCAAACTCATTTTATGAGGCCACCATTACCTTCATCCCCAGACCAAAGACCCCATCAGAAAGGAGAATTACAGACCATTATCCTTGATGAACATGGATGCAAAAACTCTCACCAAAATACTAGCCAATAGGATCCAACAGCACATTAAAAGGATTATTCACCAAGACCAAGTGGGATTTATCCCTGGGCTGCAAGGTTGGTTCAACATCTGCAAATCAATCAATGTGATACAATACATTAATAAAAGAAAGAACAAGAACCATATGATCCTCTCAATAGATGCAGAAAAAGCATCTGACAAAGTACAGCATCCTTTCTTGATCAAAACTCTTCAGAGTATAGAGATAGAGGGTACATACCTCAATATCATAAAAGCCATCTATGAAAAACCCACAGCGACTATCATTCTCAATGGGGAAAACCTGAGAGCCTTCCCCCTAAAGTTAGGAATGCGGCAGGGATGTCCACTATCACCACTGCTATTCAACATAGTATTAAAAGTCCTAGTCACAGCAATCAGACAACAAAAAGAAATAAAAGACATCCAAATTGGCAAAGAAGAAGTCAAACTCTCTTTGCAGATGATATGATACTTTATGTGGAAAACCCAAAAGACTCCACCCCAAAACTGCTAGAACTCATACAGGAATTCAGTAAAGTGGCAGGATATAAGATCAATGCACAGAAATCAGTGGCATTCCTATACACCA